GCGATAAGATCTCCATCTAGCTGGGGTCATCTAGCCCCAGCGCTCTTTCCTGCCTATGCAGGGGGTCGGACTCGACGATCTATTGAGGTCCCTTCCAACCCTAACATTTATGAATCTATGAATCTATGAATCATGAGTTATAGTTAAACTGGGAAGCTTTTACTTTTATATTGTACTCTGATCAGGCAAGGGGCTGAGCACCCTGACTCAAGGCCAGTGAAAAACTTAGGTATGTTTTTATATGAAGCAGTAGTCCTTTTAAAGTCACAGGGTGCATTTATATGTGTGCTGTACTGCCAAGCTGACTAATTAGCTCTGGAGTAAAGTGTCACCATCTACACATGCATTGGCATTAGGACACAGTAAGCTAATTAACTCTACCATAAGATAATACTATTGGGGACCGTACTATCTTATGGTGGAGTCATTAAGTGCAATCAAATGCACATGTAGATGGTAACCACCAGCTGTAAATTGCTCCTGGACATCACAGCCAACTGGGGGCCAGACCTCCAGCTCCTTCCAGCCCTGCTGATGCCTGATGCTGCCACCTGGAGCCTGGGGCTTACTCTCTGTGCCCAGGGCTGCTCCACCCCAGCTCAAAGTGCTGGGGTCCCAGGCACACACATAGATGCTGCACCTGTGAGCAGTGTACACAAGCTCAAACTGCTCCAGAGTTTATCGTGTTGCACTAATTGCACATGTAGATGCACCCACATATTAATATTTAAGTCCCACTAACTTCAGTGCCAAGTTTCACATACTCTGACTTCACTGCGTGCTTAAGTACTTTCTTAAAGAGAGGAAAAACAGTAATCTACCTGATAGATGTGTGCTAGTTTCATCGAAGGAGTCACTTCTGTTCTCCTGGGACAAAGAGGAGCCTGAAAATATACTAATTCCTTCAAGTTCTTCAAATGCCTCCTGCATACCACTGGTAAGTTCAGTTACTTGAGATCTGACATGACATGAAGTATCTGAAAATGCTAAAATATACAGAAAAATTGAAGTAGGTTAAATGAGATTTCAATAGCAGCCTGTTTCATTTACTTTAACAGACTTCAAGACATTTGTGTTCATTAGGCTTCAGGGAGCAAACATTTAAAAATTAAAGTCTTGTGTCTAAAAGTATCTGACAGTGCCAAAATTCATCCCACAGACTTCCTGCACACACAACTGCAGTTCAGGACAAAAGAACCTGCCTAACAATTTTTTCCTCCTATGGAGAGGAATACTGGTCCATCAAAATTTACTACAGATCCTCCAAGCTCAAGAGGTTCGTTCACTTTTCCTTAGGCCTATAACTGCTTATTTGTACCATGCAGTGCTCTATTACAAATAGAGGCTTCTAATGTTCTCCCAGGAAAGAATAAACCTGCAACAACCCTGGGTCATTCTGCCACATGGCTGAAGTGGCTTATAAACCTGTCTCAACCCTGGGAGACTGGATGGGCTAAGGGTAGGCCTCTTGCTACAGACCTAAACCAAAGCACACTTAAGTTACTTGAAAGACTGCCAGTGATTGTAATAGACTATGATTCAGGTCCTGCCACCTCTCCTGGTGACTTCTTAGAAGATTATATAAACTCTAATATTACTTCAACTAATGGAGATCTTCTTTAGCTCAGAGGGCAGGGGCACTCTTACGAAGCATTCACAAGTTAGGTTAGGTGGAG